TGCATTCGGACAACTTTTTAAAAGTAAATAGAAAATGAGTTTAACAAAAAAGTTACATGTTCAACTGTCAATCTAAGTCTATAATCCATGTGGCAGACAGAACTGATGTGACTCTTCTTGATTCCTACACTTCCTGGTGTTTAAACCTTTGTATAATTCCCTCCCCTTGCACGTGAACTGGACCTATGGCTTGCTTCTAATCAATGAAATACAGCAAAGGCAATGGGTTGTATGTGATCACGTGTACATGATTATGTAAGAACATAGCACCAGTTCACCTTTGCTAGACTCTCTTCCTGTGCTGACCTTGAAGAAGCAAGCTGCTCTGAACCTAACAGACACAAAGAAATAAATTCAGCCAATAACCCAAGGAAGTCTGGGGGCAGACCTTTCCCCAGGTGAGTCTCTAGATAACAACCCAGCCCTGGCCAACACTTTGACTGCAGTCTTACAGAGGCCACAGCTAAGTTGTGCCCAGCCTCTTGACCCATAGAAATTGCGAGGTAGTAAATGTGTTGCTTAGAACCGCTAAATTTGTAGTCATTTGTTAATAAGCAGCTTAGAAAACGAATAAAATCAGAATCTAAGGCATTTCTGAACTCTTTCTTTACAAAAAGGCCTACGTTTTGTCCAATTTCTAAACAAGTAAATGTCATGTACATGCAAAATTAAAACACAGACTAACATTTCAAATAAACAATAGTTCTTAAGAATATTTACATAAGGTAAAACTTAGGAAGTAATCTGCTACATAAAGCAGTTCCTACACTCTCTTTTAACACATTTGCCAATATACCCAATTTTGCATAATACTTAGTAGATGTAATAAGTGTAACATTAGGGCAATTCTCCTTACAAGCCCAAACAATAATAAATAGTTTAAAAGTTGATATCTAATTAACGATATTTGGTAGTCAGAAGAACTTACTTACTAGTCATCAGGCAAAGCAATCAAATTGGAGGACAGCAAGGGACTTGCTGGAGATGTGCCTGAGGGAGTAGGACACTATCTTACAACAACAGGGCTCTTACTCCCTCAGGCACTGCACCAGCCAGCAAACCATCAAAATACCAGGTTCTCAGGTCATGCTGCTCTCAGATCAGGTGATGCCCGGTGCAACTCACCAATCCTCCCCACCTTGCAGTCAAGAATAGTTCCAAAAAATCCCCAAAGCAGAAACTTCCACGACATAGGCCACACTTACACACAGCAAAGCATATAATACGAAGGTATGAAATTACAAGTGAGAAACAATAACCACCAAAATTCTTGTTACTTCAGGAGTGGCAGGGGTTGTGGTTAGAAGGCTCATTTTTCTTAGAAAGAGGCAAACATTCCTCTTCTGCCACTCCCCATAAAAGCCTTCAATGGCACAAAATAACATTCAAGAATAGGAAATAAGTTACAATATCCCAAATTCAAACATTTTGGCACTTGATATTGGTAAGAAGTGATAACTGAGACCAATTCAATAATGGTTAATTGATGAAGATAACCTAACACCATAAAACTTCACATCTGCCTTAAAAATTAAGAGAAATCTTCCTAGAAATATAGGTCTTCTTCAACATACTCAGTTTTAAGAGATAACCCGCACTCCTTTAATATAAGAAAACATGTTTCACAAGTAACAAGGCACCTGAATGACAATCAGACTACTGAAATACTCAAGAGCAAGCCACACCCAAAAAAGCTCAAGAAAATCAGTAGGTCAAAAGCAACCCAGCACCACTGGTTGTCTGAGATTAAGTCATTTTACATTTTCACTTCCGGACTCAAGGACACATTATAGAAGTCCACACGATTTCTCTGGAAATAATCTCCATTTATTGGTATATTTCTATAGCCCAATTCATCTACCCTATCCTTGCCGCATCAATAAAGGCTATTTTACCACTCATGTTATGCTCTTATGCACAAAGCTACTTGACAGTGGAAAAAAAAGTAGACATAAATTAAAGGCAAACAAATCCTCTGTAAGATACTATCAAGATTTTTAAATATTAGGAAATACCCTTAAGACTTGTTTTAAAACAAAGGTGATGGACAATACTAGCAGTAGCCAAGAAAGTGTCTGTTCACTTTAACACTCCCCAGTCTGAAAAGAATAACAAAGACAAGATTTACTTCACCTAAAAACTCCCTTATAAATATAATCATATTCTGATGTCCAACAACTCAATTCTAGGAAATTTCTACAAACTGAAATATCTGGATTAGGCATTTTTCTTCCAGTCTCTAGAGAGAATAAGAGCGTATATAGCCAAAATAGATGTCCAAAAGACAGCAAAACATAAAACCAACACAGAAAACTTCCTCGTTCAATGTGGCAATTCATTGTGAGGGAACTACTAACAATTCCACTTGCTAGAATCTTTAAGTGTTAAAAATAAAAGGGGCGGGGGGACTGTTTTTCATTCTCTATAAATTACATGACAGTTCACAAGAGAATAATTTTGAATCTTATTGGTACCATATTTTCTTACTAGGAGATGTGAATAATCTAAACAACAATTAAAACAACAGTTTTACAAAAAACAATATGAACTTTCCATTAATACTGAAATAATCCTTTTATCAATTTTCAGATGGAGTTATTTGCATATAACCATTTATACAATTTGTAACTGAATAAATATAATAATGCTATAATAGATACTAAAAAAATTAAGTAAATGTGAAGTATAGTCAAGTCTAATTTTTTAAATTATGATTCTTCATCTAGCTCCCTAAATCTCAAGATGATGAGAAACGTGCTTCTATTATTTTCCTAATAACCTGTCCACTAAAATACAGGTAAAAATCTCAGTAAAGCACTCCACTAAGATGGGTTTTTACATAAGTGTATTCCATCTCCCTGTCTCAACAAAAATTTCAGGATGTGGCACTTTCATCTGATCCTGTCATATAAGAATAGGTAGTTTCTCCAATCCCTTTCCAGCAATTCTCAACTGAGGTTCCTCATCTGAATCACCAAACACAGGAAATTATTTCAGTGACTGTTTTCTCAACTGTTCCAAGAATGATACATAACTAAAACCGTCCTAAATGCACTGGAGCTAAAAGTTAAAATGCATTGCACACTACAGCACAATTCTCTCCACAAAGCCGGTTGAGACACGCTGCTATAAGTTCCTCAGAAACTGTCACTGTACTACTAGGTCCCAGTCACCCAACCCCAACAGCACTAAAAGAACTATAGTGAGTGCACAAACCTAGAACTTAGATAAGAAAAAAGATAAATGCTTTATCTCCAACTTTAAGCAACTAGGTATTTTGATTTACTCATTTACTAGGAAGCATGGAGCTCAACTGTTTGTCCCTTGCTCTGAACGGAATGCATTTACTTAACAAAATAAACCCACAGAAATATAATGTTTCTCAAAGGGAATTATCAGCTCTTAGAAAACGAATTTTTAAAAATCAGCATATTAAATAAATATTAACTATTAACTTGACAAGGCTTTTCCCATTCACCCTTCTTTAGCAAACTTAAATATTCACCTTTTGATAACTGCTAAATGCAAATTTTCACTTTAAAAATATAAATATTAAAAACCAGTTTGCCCTTCAATCTCACACTAATCACCAATTCTCAGAAACTGCCTTTTATATTCTTCAATGTGGACTACAGCAACTTCAACTGGTAGGTTAGTTGTGATCAAATCACTTTAAGGACACCAGTAGAGTTCCTTTACTCAAAAGCAAATGACTTTTTTAAATGGCCCAATTTTAAGAGGGATGCATATTTTTAAGCAGCAAAAATTACTTTAAAACAAGGTGGCTAATTAAAAGTCAAGCATCATTCCATATTGAATGTGCAAAGCGTTACTAAAAGATGTGAAAAATTAAACATGACATTCTTATTTTTAATTTATGCTGGCGTGTATGCTGATAGTACAGAACATCAGAACAGATAAATTACTACGTATTCCACTTTACTAAGTCTCCACTCAAAGTTCCTACGTTTACAAACACATGAGTAAAAGAGGCACAAAAATGTAGGGGATGCTGTTTTCGCTGCTAATCTGTGCTCAGCTGCGAATTCTTCTAATATCGGATGCATAATGCGATGAAATGGGAATGCTTACCTTCTATACTTCTATTTATTTTCACAAATCGGGGAGGGGAGGTGGTCTTGATTCATTTACTATTAGCGTTTTGCAATAAAGTAGATCAGCATAAAACACAACTGAAGAAGAATTCATTTTCCCAGGACAATGCACCCTTCCTCCTGTTTCTATAGTAAAGCCATCTTTTGCTATTAAAAATGCCCATTTTTCACAACTGACTTTTCCTTAACTCTAGTCAACACTGCTCTTCAAAAGAACCTAGCCAATTACTGTACCTTGTAGGCTGATTTGCAAAATTTTTACTTCCTTAGGAAATTTTTCCATTTTCTAAATGTTTTCCAAATTAAGCAGGACTCACATTAACTGTGACCTTAAGTAGCGGTTTAGTGAGGTTTAAAAACAAACTTTTCATTAACGCATTCATACAATTAAAGTGACATAGTAAGTGGGACTGACACAGATTTAAGGATTACAGCTTTATATTAAAAGTCGGTCCAAAGATGGTAACTCAGCGTTCATTCGAGACCCTTTGACTTTTGGCCTTTAAAAATTGTTCCCCACTGAGTCCCCAGATAGAACTACATTTAGCAACGGGTCTCCTCCTGACTTCCTGGTACTAAAAGCCACAACCACAAGGGCTGTTTCGTCTGTTTGCTGTAAAACAACATTTGCTCCAGTCATCTCTATGGAAAACAGACTTTCTCTACCGGGGAGCCGCTGAGGTGAGGGTGCTCACGATGTTTAAAAACCAAACCACGCGTCTACGCGATAGCAGCACCGCAGGAGTTAAGTGCCGGGGGTTTCTTCCCAGGATGGAGACCTGCCCGGCCGAAGGAGAAAAGGAGAAGGGTAAAAATAGCCGGCGGCCACGACCCACGTGCAGCCGCGGGAGGACCGAGCGCGGGCGCGCGGAGAGGGGTCCGTACCTCCAAACATGTGCGGCGAGAGGTGAGCTGGTAAGGAGCCGATCACCAGGCGCTGTCTCTTATACACATCTAGATGTGTATAAGAGACAGGCTATAAGTTCCTCAGAAACTGTCACTGTACTACTAGGTCCCAGTCACCCAACCCCAACAGCACTAAAA